GACAACGCGTGGCACTTATGCTATATGACAATGGATTTGAGATTAGAATCGGCAAACGGTTGCTTCTTACGCTTAAATATTGAAGGCAAGGAGGTTGCGACTTCCTCACAACCTTTGGTAAGGACGCGATCTCTCCAGCTACTTGTGATCCATCGAAAAATTTCCGATACCGTTGAGTGTGTTACTCTGCACACTGATACTAACGCTCGATCTAAGTGGCCCCTCTGGAATAATCGCAAGGCCAGGTCGCCGCAGCGTGCTGTAAAATGGAGCATGCAGCTGCCCCGGGAAAATTTCCCAAAGTTTTCTAGTGATTAATTTTGGTGACAGCAGAAGTCTACTGTCAGCGGTCTTTTTGAACTCGGTAGTAACTTCGAGGTTGGTTAAGATGGAGCACTTCGAAAAGCGATTCAGCTAACCATTACCTTCACTAGGTTGCCCATCAGTTATTCACTGATCCTTGGTGTTGGTGTTCCACTACCACCTGGGGCTTTGAGTTATTAAGAGTTTCGCCTTATGAAACACCAGGCGTCTCTGGTGAAACCACTCTGGTATTTTCGTAACAGAGAATCCCATCTCATACCCATAAAGTGAGTTGAGCCCTTAAGTACCTTGAAGCACAGAAATCACCCGCCTGAAAGCAGTTGGGTGCAGGTTAGACGCGTCTCCGGAAAGAGAACAGAATAGAATGTACCAACTATCAAGGCATTGACTTCATATATATTAAGTTCCAAGTGCTCGCCACCTTGTCTTTACGGAGGCCTAGTCGAGCACATGAAGTGGAAGATTGGTTTCCCTCATTCTGAGACCGTACCGATCCGCTGAACGCCGCAGCACAATCAGACATTCGCCGAGCCAATAAATAATGCATTATTAGGTTTGCCCGTCACGTGTTACTTAACAGATACGCTAACTGGAGCTATCTGTCAAGAAGAGAAGTATAGTCTTAAAATCGTGGGTGGGTACAGAGTTATGTTTTTGCCTTGATCAACATCGCTCACACGGTTGCCCATTATCGTTCCTCCAAATGAGCATTGCTACAGATAAGTCTTCTGAAAAACCGTGGATCAATCGAGGTCAGGCTGCTATGGGAAACGGACTTAGGGAACCGCATCAGGCTGATGAAATCGCTGTATTCTGATTCCTGATGGATCTACCGTAAGCTGGTCATGGTTTCACAGAATGATTACAGTTCACCGAAGAGGGCAATGTCAAGCATTACTCTATTCGCGAGCGCATGTAAGGAGGCTCGATCGGAAAGCTGCCGTCCATGTACTCTACATTTGATAAGGCTTTCATCCCAACAGTTCACAAGCTACATAGCAGAGCCTAGTCCGGAAAAGCGCCAGACGCGTTTCGCCCTATTGGGGCTCGTCAGTGGCGCGCATTCCCTCGGTCCTCTAATGAGATTCGAACCTATGACCGCTAGAGGCAGATGCCAACTAGCCAGCATCTTAAGCCACTGAGCCATGGGGGACGTCGGCTGGGCTACATAATTTGCAAACTAGCTGAGATATAGCACCACCTATCTACCACTGTCACGGACAGTGGTTAGCCTGCAAGGTGATGACGTCCTCTCACTAGACGCTATACCTATAGCATTTTGAAACTAGGAGAGGCCTCTCCTACATTTGTCATTCGGTCAATGAAAGTGTTGGGAGGACAGTGTAAATTAGGAGTATTGCTAGATTAAAAATGGAGAACGAAGAACGCCCTTATTTTCATAAGATACACAAATATAGTTACCGTTGATTCTTCCAGAGTTCGCAGTAAGAGGTTTTGTTGCTGGGAAGGAGCTTTTATGGTGATCTATTTAAGGATAGACAGTTGACAAAAGGGCGCAATCAACTTAAGTAAACGCGGTCTTCCTGAAAGCGAAAATCACCATCGTGATTCGCCGTTCTAGCATCTGGATAAGTATAAACGAGTAACTAGACACAACACGCCCGTATCGTGGCATACGTGGTATGCCAAAGGCTCGAGATGTGCTACAGTGTTGCTCGCAGAGATCAATGGCATGGTGACTGAGATTTCAGTTTTCAACCACTACGTCTCGAGTGCAACTTTCGACACCAGTGATCTGTACATAGAGTCCGAAACGGAGGAAAACCGCTGTGGAGTGCAGTGTAGGGGGCAAGCAAAATGTGACCTACAATGTTGGGGTTGTTCTGGTGAATTTCAGTGACGATGTTGTGGAACCGGGCATCGACGAGAGCTAGTGCTTTCCAATAAACATACCATAATGTTGCGACAGTCCAGTACAACTTTGATTAAACGACATTCGTAGGATTCATTACCCACACCACTCTCTGGCAATACTTGTATGGAAGCATTATTCGTAAAGAAGCGTCATATCTTCTCAAGTTTGTGACCAAAAAATACTGTGGATGCTACGATAGTTTCAATTTCTTCTGGGCTAGAAGTTCTACCAGGTGATAGGTCGACATCGGATTGCGTGAACAAAGACAAGATGGGAGAAGACTAAACCCACATGCAGCTGCACAAGCTCTATCATGTCAGATTACAAGATGCCGCTGCAGAAATTGGTAGATGCATCACAATTGATCCAAAGACAGAACGATGGAATAAATAAATAAACGTTTCTTCTCGACAATGTGAGGCACGTCATTATCGGCATGATCAGATAAGTACATATGTGCAAAGAACGTGATCAGAAAAATTAAAAAGGCGGAGCAGATAACGACGTTTGGAGGGACAGCAAAAGCACAATAAATGGTTAACTAGGATGAAATGATGTTGGCTGTCCTTTAACCCTTCTCAGGCATACCTAATTTTACTTCAGCTAACTAACAGGAGAAATATGGTGGCGAAACATGTACTGGGTCATATGAAAACTGGACCCTGCTTGGCTTGCGGTTATGAAACAAGCAGACAATTCGTTCATGTTCTGTATAGTCAAGATGTTGTTGATGCTTTTGCGAAATTCGTGTTCAAAAGTGTAAGCACGTATTCCGGACGGTGGCTTGTTCCAGACCATAGCGTAGCTGTTAAGGAAAAAGTTCGTAGACCTACTGTTCCTGGACTTGCATTCCGCCAGTGAGTGCTGTTTATTTTGTGTGCTCTCAGCGGTTGATTGCATCGATGGCATGCTGAGGCTTGAAACGTATAGGTTTCTGCATAAGTTGTGCCTCATGCATCGTGGCCTCGGTGGATTAGGCTAAAGTCTACCACATCGTTTCGAATAATCCAGTTTTGAAGAAGCACATAATATGGGTTCGGTGGATGCTCTCTGTGTAATTGTTACAATGCAATGCTGTCGCACATTTTCGAATTTCTATACATCAGCGTGGATCAAGCAACTGATAGGTACGAGCATCAAATATCCATTCAATGTTCTGTCTTGCTCACGTCTAACAGAGCCTACTTGTTCATAGAAGTCTTGTGAGCATGATTATCGCAATCTCAGATCTCTTACCGTAAGACAGAGACCAAGTGGTTTGCCATCAAAAGTCAGGCCGTTATGAGTCAAACCACACTTGTGAGAGATTGCACAATATTTGTCAGTAGAGAAAGACTATTTCCACTTTGAGCACCAGATTTCAAGCGCACGGAGGTCGAGTTGGACCATGTTGACCACATCACTGGACGCATTCGGACGTAAAATGCATAGGATTTTGATATCATCAGCAACGATGTATGTTGTGCCAAAGATATCGCTAACACATCTTAAGAACAATAGCGATCAAGGGATACTGCATTGTGTTATGCCTCTGGTACCCAGTGTAGGTTCAGATTTGTGTTCTTGTGCTTGTACTACTTGCATTCAATTTGTAAGGTATGACCTGAACCACGACGTCAGGGGTTCACCGACCCCGTGAGACATCATTTTAGCTTTTCGTGAGGCACCTGATCAAAGGTCTTGTGCGTGTCGGGATAAAATAGAGTTGCCGACATACCAAGGTAATGTGAGGTAGTGGGTTGGTTTAGAATTTCTAAGTGACACGTTATGCAAGACGGAGCATTCTTGAAGTAATAATTCGACCGTTTTGCGTTGATAGATTCACTTTTGGAAACAATTGCGTCAACACAGACTAGATCGCTGATCGTGAAGGCCCGTGTGGCCTTCTCAAGACGTAAGCATTCGAGGAAGTAAGGTTATGGCGCGTCAATCAAGAGCAAGTCGTACGAAGACGCAGCGCGATCAATGCTAGTGAACCTATCGGAGACAACTATTTTCAGCTGGAGTTTTACTTAGAATGAAGCATGCGGAGTTACGGTCCGCTTAGTTCGGAATGAGCAAGTGGCCGAAAACCAGCGCACAGAATGCACCAATGATTAGTGACAGAGTGTGGGAATCGCGTGTCTCAAATCGCCAGGGCGCGCTCAAATTAAAGCAATTGTGATGAATGACTGCCATGTGCGACACCGGAAAGAACACGGCCTACAATTCGGGTGATATTGATTGCTACCAAAACCGAGCCTTTCTACACTTCGTGTATGAATTCTTGCGTTGTAAAGACAAGTCGAACTGGTCTATTCCAGTGAATGCAACCTACGTGCATCGTGTAGGGACAAGTCTGCACTGGACAGAACCCAGAGAAGTACAATACCATGCCGCGGTTTCCATTTTCGCTGCAAGTACATATTAGGTGGTGCAATACACGTGGGCATAAGGACTTCTTGCATAAGAATCAGTGAACTATTACGAAGAAGTCAACAAGAGATAACAGTCGACTTTGTCACCACGAACACAAGCATATCGTTGGATCAACCACTGCACCTCTGAGGCTCATCTCGGTACATGCTAAAGGCGAAGTACCTAACGGTTCACTTAGCAAATATCAACGCACCGCACTCAAAGAAAACTCAAAGTAACGGTACTTATGATCACGGCGACGATTTCAGATGGACAAAAGACGCAAGGAAAAAGACCCAATGGAAGATCAGCTGAGTGTATATAACAAAATATTATTCACATACAGTTATCTCGTACTGTACGTTGATGAAGAGAGTTGGTCAATTCAGAACGCGTGGACGCCTCACAGGTAAAGGCTCGATGCAAAAACGATGTCTCGTCTAATGAGATCCAAGGCTGAAAAAGGGAAACAACAGAGTTTTGACCGTGGGGAGTCCTTTTAAAAGAGGAATTTTACCGAATGACCAAATGACAATTAGGGTTTCAAGAAAGCAAACTTCGGCCAAGCATGCGATGGGAACAAAGGTGTTCCTCGCCCCGATGGGAAGTTTGGTTGAAAGTAGACGGTGCACGTTGCACGATAAAGACCTGATCAATTACTCAACGCATCAGTCACAAGTTATGTGTCACGCAACGATGTGGTGTAATTGTAGATGTGGTTCTCACTAAAAACTTTATGTCACAGAAGTATGCGAATAAGCCCCGGGTACCTCGCACCTCTGTTGTGACGAAATATGAAAAGCGGGGCAAAGTGGTGACATGTACGAACATGTTGTCGCCGCACTGCATACCCAGTTCGAGTTAGCATCTAGTAACCTGCCTGAATATTCGTACACAAGACACGTTCAGATAACGTACAAGATCCGTTGCAGAATTGTTTGTAATGGACAAACACTGAAGTCCTAACAAATCCTCGATGTTGACTTACCTTCTAGGGATTTTTTTTCTAACTCCGAGTCACCAGCTTTTTTGGCTGCATCGTACATTTCGCGCAGTAATTGATCCAAGCGTCGCATGCAGCGAATCAAGGCGCCCTCGAATGCCGACGTAAGCTCACATAGACGAGCAAAGCTGACTCCTTCAGCCCATGCGCGCACCACTTCCATGAGTCCTCCTGTGAACCGACGTACATAGACTTGTTCGTTGTCCAACATGTCAGTACAGTGATTAGGAGGAGCACCGGACAAAGATGTATTGAGATTCTCGTTTTCATCTGACTGTAAGTACCGAAGGCGGCTTTCGGTGGCGGCGCGTGCTAAGAACCGAGCTTTGGTCTTTTTGGAGGAATTAGAAAATGTGGGTCATTGGGGCACAAATACAGCAACACTCAGTCAGTAGCAGCATAATATAGTTTGATGCGAATCACATGCAAGGAAATTTCAACCTCTAAGGTCGCATCAGGCAGTTACTCGTTGGCGTTGTTAGTATGTACCAAGTGAACTCAGGTGATTGTAGGAGAATTGAAATACCGATGTGGCTAGACTGGTACATGGCTGAACTTGATTAGACTAAACCGGACGCAGAAAGGTGGGTGTCGTTTGTTCACCTTTTTTAACATCTGTGGTGCATGATGTACGTGGTGATAAATCGATGGAAGTGAGGGAGACTTCGAGAGAGTAATGCTTGCTATGGCTAAGCGATCGGCTCAATAAGAAATTGGATTCGCCAATGCACTTGTGAGGTGCCTCGATTTATTTCGACTCCATACAATTCAAGAATTTCAGGGTTCGAGGATTGATTATTGCATATTGATTCGAGTAGAGGCCTCCTACTTCGATTTCGCTTGTTTCACTCGAGCGGATGCAGTGAGCTCTAGCTAAAATGCTACCGGTAGTAGCTCATAGGACATATGAATAAACTTAATACCATGTCCAGTACATGTAGGTTTGCGCTACATAGATTGAAGCAGTGTACTGTCTGGATATCCCTTAACAATCACGTGCACAAGATGAAAAGTCTCACATAGCAGATCTTAGATGGTGACGTTGATCGTCGGATAGCCAGTAGTGGAGCAACTCAGTTATTAAACCAAAAAGTTAAGAGCAAATGGCTTAAAGGAGGGAAAAATTGCGAAGCAGTTTCACTCTCACAAAGTCGGGTTTTTTTTCATACAGTGGCATACTGAAGAAGCAAAGTGGAACCACCTTCCGGCTCACAGTTGTTTCAAAGGTTAGGCACTTTGGGAGGGAAACAACCGAAATGGAGTGACGAGTCTCATTAGTAGTAAATGCAAATGAATACTCCGAGAGATACATGATGTGGCATATGAAAGCAAAAACCAGAAAAGAGTGCATATCTGGCTGGCTAAGCGAACAACTTCCTTGTGGTGCCAGCTGAGTGGTTCGGGTTCAACCCATTCCAACAAATAGTTCGGCGGCAGTTATCCAACAGGGGGGTGGGTTTTCGCCTGGCAAGCGTTCTCGCTATAAAAATGCACACATGTCTGTTTAACAACACTGTGACGTGGCGGATGTGACTCGCCACAAACTAAAGTCACTGCCCCGTGGATATCCGGATAATGCTATCCAACCCACGGACATCATTCGTTTATTCTCACATTCCTGACGATATCAAACAGTCAAAAATACAGCAACACACAAGCACAAGCTACACAGTTACATACATAAGAAGTACATGAGTATGTGCACCCATACACATACATTAACTGTTATATAAATTCTGTACTTTGTCATGTTAATATGATCATGCCTGTAAAGGTGTGCCTCGCGGTGTCGAGAATAAAAAGTTTATTTAAAAGCGTATCCAGCACGCTGTTAGTCGAATGGGACCAAAATGATAGGACAACGATGTCGTTGCTGCCAGTGTGCAAAGAAGTGCCATTACAAGGTCTAATAATGTCAGGAGGCTGCTATGTAAATCCAGTCAGTACGAACGCAACGCTCAAGCAACCAACTCATGCATGCACTTCTTTTACTGTGCTTGTGGTAGTAAGGTTGGCCAAACCGGAGAAAATCGGCTACAAGGATTTTAAAACATACTCGTGCAGACTAGCCGCAAATGGTCCTAGGCGGTTTGCCAGTTGGGTCGACCAACGCATACTCGAACGCTCTACGAACTGACAGTTAGTCGACAGGTAAAAGGTGACGTTTTGAAGTTCACAGGTCACCGGTAAGTGCGGGGAACCTCACAATGGCTTTAGCATGCGCTAGACCAACGGTGGTCACGTGATAGTGAAAAGTCGATAAGACGTACCGCAGAACTGTTGAAGTCAACTCGCGGGAATAAATTGGAATGCCTAAAAATGCAGTACTACTCGTTTGGTTCAATTCAACGAAGCCTTAGTGATACATCTGTTGAAACCCAATAGAGTTTGTGACCGGCCTCACCTTGCCTTGGTGAGGAAGGTGATGTCAACCGTTTCAAATAGAATACCAGCATGAGTCATAAGACAAGTTAACCACCATAGTGTGGTACACAACGGCGAATGAAAATGCAGGGAAGAATCGCAATCAGACTGCCACGTGGAAGGGCTGCTGAGACTTGTCTTTGCGAAAGATATGAATAAAGTGCACCTGAAGTTACTTGTCAACAAAAGCGCAATGCGAATAAAATAATAGATGCACTATATATATATATATATATATATATATATATATATATATATATATATATATATATATATAGGCAGCATCCGTGTCCGGATTTGACTGTCACTGTGGTCCCCATAGTTCGGTCAAAGGACGCCTGCACCTACAGAGGGATCATGGGTGGCTTGCGCTGCACCAACCACGGTTCCGCCCACACACACCATAACCGGTGTAAATCGGAGGGAATAAGACCAGGAGGTGTGTGGATAGGAGGCACGTTCCATCAACGGAGTCGGCCCACAATCCTTCACAAGCAAACATAAGCACCCTCTATTTGGTGAGCCAAGCGCACACAAAGCGGTGGTTAGGCCGTAGCCCGCTCCACACACAAAGCACGTCCATAGAACCAGTCTTTGAGCTAACACGGTCACGAGGACCTTGCACCCCGTACCCTTCAGCAACTACCAACTGTCTCCTGGAGGTGGTGAGTGTAGACAGGTAGGCAACTTGTCAACATTCACATCGAGCGCAGCTAGACCTGGGGTATCAATCAACGAGCACCAGCCTCTGAAATGTAAGAAACTCGACATACAGGCGCACGTGCAGACCAATCTCCACTGCCATGCCGCACACGTACCACCTCAGGCGCATTACTGACTTAGGTTAGCATATCTAATGGGAGTGGACGCATCGCACCTGCCAATCGCTGCGCTGAATACGCCTAGATAATCAGTTGGCTTGACGTCTTTTGGATACTGGCCCCACGTGTCCACGCTGGTGGCCTACCGAACCCGCTTGGCTCATGCACTCACGACCGCATGTACTACAGCACCAGGTGTTCGGCGTCGATAGTACAAAGTCCATCGGAGTCTGTCGCTTCCGTACCCGGTGCTTCTCCTCCGTGTGCAATAGTGCTTTCTCCTGTACCGGGGTAGGCGCCCTATTGATCAGCCCACGGCATTCGTAGCGATCAAATCTGCCTTTGATTCCCAACACCAGAAATCAACATTGGTACGTGATGAACTCGCCTTGTTCATGTCCTGGTAAGGCTATTTCGGTTGGCCTGCACGGCGATTCACTACGCTAAGTTGCCCGTACAAAAGCTCTCTGAGTGTCCTCGTCGAATTCATTCGGTATAGATACATGGATTGGCGACATCCATGTCCAGTCGCAGTTCGAATACAACATACGCACATGCATTTGTCCACACTTAACAATGAACTACAAGAAACCGGGTATATATATATATATATATATATATATATATATATATATATATATATATATATATATATATATATATATATATATATATATATATATATATATATATATATATATATATGGTTGGCGGCATCCGGTTTCGGATTTGACTGTCACTGTGGCCAGCCACAGGACGCCTGCGCCCACAGAGGGACCATGGATGGCTTGCGCTGCACCACCCCCAGCTCCAACCACACACCCCATATCCAGTGTAAACCCGGAGGAATAAGACCGGGAGGCATGTAGATGGGAGCCACGTTTCATCAACGGAGCCGGCTCACACTCCTTTACAGGCAAACACAAGCAAGCTGTATTTGGGAATCAAGCACACACAAGACGGTGGCTGGACTGTGGTCCGTTCCACACTGAGGGCATGGAAGCACTCTCTGAGCCTAGCACGGCCACAAGAACCGTGCACCCCGTCCCCTCCAGCATCGCCCAACTGTCTCCTGGAGCCAGCATGTACGATGTAGTGGGTAATAGACAAGTAGGCACCTTGTCAACATGCCCATAAAGCGCAGCGACACCGGGGATATCAGGTAACAACCATTCACTTGAAATAACATTTTCAAATAAAGTATATTTGGAGTATCGGTGGTTTTGTGAGTAGGTAATTTTGTAGAAGTAGAATCCACGGTATATTTGGTAAAGTATACGGCTATGCTGACATAATTCTTCCTTAAATTAGCATATGAAGCAAGCTGCTTGCCAAAAAATCCGCTATGGTTTCAAGACGTCGGAAAATAAATTTTAAGAAAATGACAAACGCGAAAATGTTATCAAAGTTAAATACAATTAACTTGAGCGACATGTGCAAGTTAATAGGGAGACAATATAGCAAACCCACCACTTGAAATAAAGAGACAGCACGCAAACAAGCGGTCAGTAAATCGAATGCAGCGTACCTACAAATGCTGCGCCGGTTCTGCCTACGCTCTCTGCAGGACCCATCGTCGCTTTAGTGGTGGCCTTGAGTGGTTTCGCTCATGGCTCACTGGGCCTGCCTGACTCAGGCACTCACGACCGCATGTGGTACAGGACCACGCGGCCGCTGTTGATGGAGTACAACCCATCGGCGCCTGTCGCTTCTGCAATTGCCGATTCTTTTCTGCATGCACGAGGGCTTTCCTTTGCATCTCGGCAAAGACCTACGTGATCACATCACGTCATGCATGCCAATCAACCGCTTTCGATTCCAATGACCTGCAATCAATAGTAAAAGGTGATAGGCTCACTTTGATCATGTCCTGGTAAAGTATATATATATATATATATATATATATATATATATATATATATATATATATATATATATATATATATATATATATATATATCTGTTAGGAAGAATTACGCGATGCGAACAAACCAGGACCCCTTCGCCGCGGTAGGCGATCCAAACTCATCCGCCCTGATTGGGCGAACAGAGAGCCAACCGGGAGAAGCGGCCAAGTAACGCGACGGCGGTGTTCCTTTATTGACTGTAAGCTGACCTTTCCAGAGCTTTCCACGGTCGCTTTAAATACCATTCACGAACTTTCCATTTCATCTTTATAATGAATGGTGTGAATTGCTAATATATCTCTGTTGCTCTGCTGGTCCGATCCGGTCTTCTCTCTGTTCTGTGGGGGGGCAGCGACTTCGGGTTTTGATTGGGAATCAAGCGTCCATTCAGGCGAGGGACGAACGCTTCAATATATATAATAATCATTATCATCATCAACACTACAGGAAAATGTATACCCTGCAAGATTCATAGCTCGGTATGCAAGAGCAGAAAATAGTAAGAAGCCTTTGATAAGTGTCCCCAAGGAAAAAGTGTTCATTACGCTGCCGTTTAAAGGTAGATCAAAACGACAAAAGATGCCAGCACCGCCTTCGCCAGGCAATTGGGAAATGTTATTACGCGGTCGAACTGGTGTTATTGCTCTGCAAATCCAACCTGGACAAGCAACGCCCTCACGTTACCGACTCTTGTGTTTATCTATTCCACTGTACTTGTGGTAGCAAGTACGTTGGCCGAACTGAGAGGAGACTATCCACTAGGATTTCAGAGCACGTTACACAAAACATGGTCGCTAACGGTCCCAAACTGCCGGCTAGCTCAACTGCTCAACACGTCCTGGATTGCACAACGTGCCAACGTCCTCGTGAATTGTTTAAAGTAATTAACCTACAGAGCAATGCCCGATTGCTTCAGTTTGCCGAAGCCTCAGCTATTCGGCGGCTTAAGCCCAATTTGTGCAAGCAGACTGAACTTACGGCCAGCCTCGCCCTACCTTGGTGAGGTTATTGATCGTTTTCCTTTGAACTGAATGACCTTGTACATTGCTTCCCACATTTGTACGCAACGCGATAATTTCACCAATGTGTGTAAACAGCTGAGAAGAACACTCGAAAGACCCGAATTCAGCGTATCCTGTTACAATGTGTGTTCTTCTTGCTATTTTGAAATATTTATACCAGTTGATTTCAACTGTCCTAGTCAGAAACGACGAACTGTTTCACTTGTTGGATGTCACGCGCAGAATAGCCTAAACCATTAGAATTGGAACGGCTTGTGGACTTCGCCGGCAGACCTGAATTCGCAACTAAAAAGGTAGACGGAACGCGTAAATGCCGCACAGCTATATCGAGACCCGCGGAAAAAAGAGTGGCCAATAGTAAGAGTGCTTTTACTGAATCAACCAAGGCAACCGTGTTTTCGACACTCATATTTATCGCTCAGTAAAGACAGTAGTACGTATATAAATTATAAGTTAAGACGTACGTTTGTTGGCCCTTGAGTTGCCATGTAGTGGCCTTGTCTCGGAGCGGAAATGGGGTGAGTTCGATGGTGTTAAGAGGTGGGACACATCACAGTTGTTTAGCGTGCTCGGTGGCTAACGCATTGGCATGAACACAAGTCAGGAGACAGACTGCTGACTTGAGGAGAGGCTGGTCGATATAGTGATGACACTGGGAAACTATGCGGGATACGTTGGTCGCGTTTTCACTGAGGACAACCCAATTGTGATATGCGCAGATGAGTGGACACTTGGCAACAGTTTCCGTGGGGAGAGCTCCATAATGAACTGCGTAGATTAACTCTAAGTATAGCGACCGTGTTTACCGGGCCGGATAATGCACTGCGCCGGTGAACTCCGGGTGAGTTTGGCAGAGCTGTACCAGCCCTGTAGCATCTCTCTCTGAAGGTTGATGAGGGTTTGACTGCAGCGTTGTTGACCTGCGAATGCGTCCTGTGCGATGGCGGGGGCAGTCGGATTTCCAAGTTGGTTGGGTAGCTGTTTCGGATACCGGTTGGTCCTGCACGATCTCAAATGTGTCCAATAATATGTGTAGTGGCAACTGCCAGCACAACTGGTCTGTAACTAACCTTTGGGGTCTCGGTCGGAGTTGGTCATAGTGACGAACCCATGTGCCATCAGAAATGGCGACGTCACATAATATACTGTCACAGTGGGACGTAATTGTCGCTTCGGTCCAGTTCTTGTGATCTACTCGGTAGTCACATGCGCACACACGATCTCTAACGACGAAACGATTGCGGTTGTTGGAAACTGCGGGTCGTACTGGATGCTCCTCGGATGGGAACAGCAATTGGTGGGTGGTGCATAGCTTTCGGCCCGTCAAAGCTTCGGCAGGTGATTGGCCACAAGGAGACGCCGGATTCGGTGTGGTCTTGCAAACGAATAAAAATGTCCGGATACATGTATCCACTGTCCGCTCCTGCTGTGACTTCAGGAGTGCTCTCTTGAAAGTGCCACGAATTGTTCCGCTTGCCCATTGGACTGGGGATGATAAGGCGGTGCACGGAGGTGGCTGGTCCCGTAACAATGGCAGAAATCGTCAAAGAGCGAGGACGTGAACTGAGAGCCGTTGCGCACTGAAAGTTCGTGTTGATTGAAGATTCGCAGGAGACAAGCAAGCTTGGTGGTAGTGGTCATAGGGTTTATGGGCACGAATTCGGACCACTTGGAGTAGGCATTGATAAGGACCAGCCATTGGTTGGACCATCGAAATCGAATTGAATGCGGGACCTAGGTTTCTCGACAGGTTTCCAAGGAACTGGTGGTGGGTGCAACGGCATCTTGGCTGCTTGTTGTCATCCTAAACAGTGGCGAACAAGCTCTCCAATGTCGGCGTCTACACCGGCCAGTAAGCACAGCTTCGAGCGACTGCTTTCATTCGGTTAGTACCAGAATGTACAGCATAGAACTGACGAAGCACGAGTTGACGAAGGCAGGCTGGAACCACGACTTTGCCAGCAGTCATGAAACAGGAATCTGCGACAGACAAAGTGTCACGGCACTGAGGGAGCTGCGGTGCGTAGGCACCGTTCCACAAATTCCTCTTCGAACATTGAGTAGTTTGCACCATTGCAAGTACCGTCGCTGATGATTTTTGAGTGGATGATGCACACTTCGAGAGACTGAATTTTCCATACTTCAGGATCAATCTGTTTAATTTCGCATCCGTGCAGGTGAAATACAAGATACATAAAGTAGAATTAAAGAGCAATGTTCAAGCAGCTGGTGAGGAAGACATCAAGAGAACCCCGTACCTACGTATGTGACGATGTCGCGCGACCATCGCCACCAATCGAGTGGGGACTAGGGAGATATTGCGAGGTCGCCTGCACCTACGCAGAACTGAACGAGTTAAAGCGTTGGGTTACAAGACAGACGCGTCTTATCATATCGGACAACGATCAAAAGACCATCTGGCATCCTTACGATTCGCGTGTGGACTTGGAGGATACTGCGAATTAGCCTGCACCTACGCAGAATCGAAAAGGTTAGAGCTTTGGATTACAAGGCAAACGCGCCGTATCCTTTCGGCCAACAACCGACATAAGCGTTTGGCATCCCTACGATTGATGAGACAAAGCCACATTACAGATTGCACTTTTCACCAGTTTGTGCAAAGGAGGGAACACGAAATGACACAGGGTGGACATACGCTAAAACGAAACGTGTGAATCGAAAGCTCACATGAATGGCATTTAGCGCCTGTTCAAAATCGGTGCCCAGGGGGGCAATTGGTTTCCTGACCGGGGATCGCCCGCTGACAAAGCATGACATCACGCTGGCAAGTTGCACAGGTGTGAGAGGAGAGAACAACCCATCCAGAATCAATTCCGTCAATAGAAGATCATCTCCCGATAAGATTGTACACGCGATTTGGCCTTTGAATGTGACCACATCATCATGTGAAAGGAAACCCAGAGTTCGGAGTAGATGCTTCCGAATATACAGTTCATTCGAGTGGAACAAAGTATTCCTGTTTTTCAGCCGCGTTCGAAAAATGTCCAGGTCGCGCAGCACCTAAGAAGCGAAATAAAAAGGTAAATAAGCAACTTCCCTAAAATGATGGAGATTAGGGAAATAGCAACGTAATGAAAATCAACCGCTTCGGCGACCCAAACCGTCTCGTGAGGTCCACTAAAGCAGACAAGATGATGTCGGGCACGAGAGAAAATCGGTGTTAAACACCGTTCGATACGAACAGCAACAGATGCTGCGGAATGTGGTAACAGCCGTAGTCCGTTTCAATGGGGTCAGCAACTAGACATTGCACCAACACAATAATCAATCATATATCAAATTCCAAAAGAAATACTGATCCATCATAAGTAACCACGGTCAGAGCGCCGAAGCAGATCGAACCCAATTGCCTCGGATCGCGTCGCTATCTTGAGAATGAGGTAAAAAGTGAAGTGGAAAGGAAAAATACAAATGACCGAAGGAGAGATACGTTGTAATCGTAAAATATAAGGTTTGACAGGTGGGGCCGAGGACTAGACTCAAAAGCGTCATCATTATCATCATCATACACGTTAGCTAGTGGGGAACACCTCAGCTACTGTGCCTCAAAAGCGTCGCTGAGTCTGTGTAGCCTACTAGAAAAAAACGCGAAGTCGTCCCAGTGGCCTAATTTGCGAAACGGAAACAACAGAACTACCAGATTCCGGGGGCGGATCTTTCTTGAGTTCAAAATGTAGCGGTGGATGATGTCAGCCCCTGAAGCCCACTTGGTTACGTCTACCGCTTGAAACGCTGGCTGGCTTGCCGAACTACTTCCTCGTGGTGCTAGCTGGGTGGATCGGGATTATCCCGTTCCAGACAAAGGTTCGGCGGCAGTGTTCCAGGATGTGGTGGGTTTTCGCTTGGCAAGCGTTTTCCCTATAAAAAGCCACATATGTCCGTTTAACAACACTGCGACGTGGCGGACGTGACTCGGCACTAAATAAAGTCACTGCCCCTTTCTTCACCTTGCTGGAGCATTGTAATCATTCAGCTTGACGCTGAATTACTGGGAGGATTGGGCCCCTGTTTAACAGCCACCCAAACGGAAGGCGTATGAACCGAGCAATCGGTCACCGGGCACGATTCCCTGGATTCGCCCCGCTGCCTTGCGAGTCAGGCCCTTATGACCAAAGGCCCCGGTTGGGACCCCCTAAGCCAACGCCCTTCCTTGGCCTGGGCAACCGGAGAGCTGTATGCCCACACAACACATGAAATGATGGATTTACAACTTTCTGCTCACTCTCTCGCTCTCTCGCTCTTTGGCCGGGCATGCTAAACCGCACTTTAACGCACCGTAAACCACGTGCTTCGTTCCACGTTTATTCAACCCTCCAGGTCTTGGCAACCCGCCTTCAATTGCGAGTTTCCAAAAGTGCATTGTAAATAAAAACGGCACCTCTGGCCTCCTCAGTGTACCGCTCAAAACCGATCGCACACATTCCAATACCAACAGCAAAGCTTTTATTGCACCCCGCTCGCTCTTCAAGCTAGCTACGTTCAATGTTCGAAAACTCATCCTAATTGGTTCACAAGCTGCTCTTGCGCAAACCTTGGAAACCTTCACAATCGACGTTTGCTGCCTAAGCGAAACCCGTTTACAAGTCTCCAGCACAACACTGCGATTGCTCTCACACACCCCAAGTTCCAATTGCACAGTCAACTTGTGCTTATCTGGAGATGCAACAGCGGCAGTCTTTGGTTGCGCCGGCGTATGAGTTGCGTTAAGCGCGCGTGCTGAGGCAGCGCTCATTGACTTGTTCCCGGTCAACAGTCGTCTTTGTGAAGTCCGCTTGGAAAGCTCAGTGCGATCTCACAACCGCGGGACCAGTAGGCGTTGCTTATTGATTGTGGTGGCGTACGTTCCAACTGACTGTAGCCCGGACGAAGCTAAAGATGAGTTCTACCGCCAACTCACCGACCTCCTCCGCAAGAAACGCCGCACGGACATCGTGATACTCGCCGGTGACCTAAATGCACAGGTCGGTAGACTAGAGATTCATGAGCGCGAACTTGGGGGTCAACACAGCCACGGTACTCACAGGACGGCAAACGGAGATGGACTCCTGCAAGTGTGTGCAGAAAAGGGGTTGTTCCTCTCCAGCACCAATTTCCGACGTTCCTGGCGCCAACGTGCCACCTGGCGACCTCCGGCGCCTAGTCAATCTCGGACGCAAATTGACCACATTGCTGTTAGTTACCGTTGGCGTGGCTATATAACGGACTGCCAGTCAATATGGAACACTTACCTGACTTCGGATCACGCGCTCGTGTGTGCTAAGTTTGTTCTGCGCTTTGGAGGCACCCAAGAGCGTCGCCGGAAACGGTTTGACACAGACAAGCTTGCTGTTCCAAATGTTCTCGGCGCATGTCAGAACACATTAGCCTCCAATCTACGTTCTCTATCCTCTGGTGTTGAGACACACTGGGTACAGATCCAGAGCATCTTACGAAAGTCCGCTACCCTAGTATGTGGCTTCACTAGACGAGCTGTTAGTCTTTGGATCCCCGCACAGTCTCTCCAAATAAAGGAAAGTTGTCGAACAATTCCCGCCGGAGTTGAGTACAACGCACTAGGCAGAACCACAGGTACTGAGCTCAAACAGCTCCTCAAGAAGGATTGCGAGTTTTGGTGGACACAGCGCGTCGTTGAGATGGGGCGATCAGCCTCATCAGAAAACTCCCACAAACTCTTCCAACTTATTCGCTCCATGGAAGGCAAAAGACCAACTGTGAGTGAAGATTTGTGTGAAAACGACGGTGAACTAATCGACAGTCGTCACCGTCGTCTGATACGATGGGCAGAGCATGTTGAAGAGCAATTCAACTAGCCAGCAGCGCAACCGAGTCTATCTTTCCGGGTTCACAGTGCTCCCTGGTGCGTGGATGTTTCTCCACCGACAGAGATCGAGGTTTCCAATGAGCTTCGCCTACTGAAGCGCCACAAGTCCCCTGGTCCAGATGAACTTTCTCCTGTCCTTTTCAAATATCGAGGTCCTGCCCTCACTCGCGAACTGACATCTCTATTCCATCAGATTTGGACTACCGAAACCATTCCATCCGACTGGAATCTAGCGGATATGTTGTACCTGTTTACAAAAAAGGAGACCGGAACATTTGCGCCAACCATCGTGGCATCAGTCTCATTTGTGTCGCATCCAAACTGCTCGCTGCCCTACTCTTGAGAAGGCTCAGTTGCGTACGGGAACAGCACCTGAGTGCACAACAAGCTGGATTTTGCCCGGGTCAAAGTTGCGTCGATCACATCTTTACGATTCACCAGATACTTGAACATCGCCATACGATCAGTCGACCAACTATAGTCATATTCTTGGATATTCGAGCCGCTTTTGACAGAGTGGCTCTTTGGGACTGCTTACTGAAGAGGGGAGTACCTGAGTACATCAGCAATCTCCGTGCTATTTATAATCAAACTTCGGACCGCGCGCGAATATACGGACTCCTTGCCCCCATTCAGTATCCCTAGCTGTGTTAGACAGGGTTGCCCAGCCTCTCTATTCTTTTTCAGCTTCGCCATCGGCGAGATGCTGGATACTGCCCTGCATCACTCTGAGTCCTGCGGTGTTGAACTATTCTCTGGTGACCGCCTTCGGGACTCAGAGTACGCCGATGACATCGCTGTAGTTTTCGAGTCCTCGCAAGCCACCCAGCATGTGCTGCTCAGACCGGAGATGTCCGCCGCCCAATTTGGGTTGAGCTTTGCCCCTTCCAAATGTAAGGTCCTATTACAGGACTGGCCAAGCGCAAGTTCTTCTCTCACCCCTTCGGGGTATCCGTTGGAAGCGGTTGACAAATTAATTTATCTTGGGAGTTGTCTTAGTACTAACGGTTTGACAGAAGATCACTCTGCATGTCTCCAAGGCTAGAGTCGCTTTCGCTCACCGTCGTCACCTGTGGCTTCGTCGTGATTTCAGCCTCGCTCTCAAGGGACGAGTCTATAATGCTACGGTACGAGCGATTCTGCTGTAAAGCTGTGAGACTTAGCCCGTTCGCAAAAGCAATGTTCAGTGGCTATCAGTCTTCGACCACCACTGCCTGCGAAGCATTGCTAATGTTCGATGGCAGCACCACATCAGTAATGAGGAAATCCGTCGGCGAGTATTCAGATCTAACGAACTCCGTCGATCGATTGATAGCATCATTTCACTTCGGAGGCTTCTCTGGCTTGGCCATGTGCTTCGCATGCCTACCCAGCGGCTACCACGACGAGCCCTATTTGCGAGCACAGGTGTGGCTTGGAAGCGACGAAAAGGTCAATGTAAAACTTGGATCCAATGTGTTAAGGAGCAAACGTTGAAGCTGGCTGTTGTCGGACGTTCCCGACTGCCGGGTTGGGGACCAAAGGACCCCGAGCACACCTGTTTGCAAACGCTGGAGGATATGGCCAAGGACCGTAGGCAATGGCGCACTTGCTGTGAGACACTTCTACCAAACAGTTGTTTTCCCTTTCATGCTATTCTTTTTCTTCTAATGCGTTGTGGCACTCAGTCAATTATATTGTAATTGGTATAGTGTTGAATATATATATATATATATATATATATATATATATGAAACGCAAGAGGGAGCAATGTGAATTCTGCCGAGACGATAATGACATCTCACCCTCTGATCATAAGTTAGCACCAACTCGGTACTCCAGAAGCCCAAAAATCACGGAACGTCAAGGTGTCACGCCGGCCGTTGCAAAATAACGAGGAGCTCTGGATCATTCTTTCGACTTTACACAGTAGCTAATGCAAACATCATTTTTCCTAAAGCCGGAGAATGGGAAAGGTCTGACGATAGACGGTTTCATTACGATCACCGTTGTGATCCGCTCAAATACACGGCACTATATGAGTTGTGAAGAAACACATTTCGGGAAAACATGACTGCTCTCGTTCTTTCTTGGACGATCATTACCGCCGCACGTGTCCATCGCAAAATCGATCCAGAGAAAAATGGGCGCAATCCTCTTGATGACCGCGATACAAGAAAGGTCCGGCAGGAAACCCAGC